AACAAGAGAAAATTACTAATCAGAGGTCAAAATATGCTAAATGTTTGATAAAGAGGACCCATGTAATGAAGCTTTTGTTTACCAACATTGCATGACAAGTGTTCTCTTTCCCCTTTTCCTCTACTTGTATCTACTTTAGGTTCTTTGGGAGAACAAAGAAAGAACATTTGGAATAAATGAAGACACTCAAGTGACATTCAAGTTTTAATGTTGGTAATTTGCATCCACTGATTTGAAGCATTTTGTACTTGGAAAGGATACTGAATAGGGCAAACGAGAATCCGATACTGTGGTCAAATTTCGGAAAATCACTTACTACAAATCACAATGTTAAAAGATAAAATGCAATTATTCCCTAGTTATTTATTCTCAAGCATTATTGCATTATCCAAAACTTACACCATACATCTGAATTTGAATATAATGTCATACTAATAACATAATGTCTAACGCAATACAAACATATAATGGCATCAGTTACTTATATTTCAACAGATATATAACCCAAATTGAGTATTTTTTTTCCTTATCAATAAGGTTTAAGCAAAAGCAAAGTAACATGTTCCACTAGAATTTGCTCTGGCATCTCACAAATTAAGAGTAATGTAAATTAAAAGAAACTTCATGGATTATCCAATTTGGAAGTTACATCATATATTGGAAGAAAATCAGAAATAAAATTCAAGACTAAGGCAGCTTAGTTAGGACTCAACTGCTCCTCCTTCCAGATTCGAATAAAAGCTGAAACACAAAAACACAACAAGAAAGCATAAATTGAAGGGAAAAAGTTCGTCAATTCAATAATTGCCGATGACCTGCAAACCAGCTTTAAATTGATTCTACTGGAAGAAAATTTGAAGCCAATCTACGGCCACGAAAATTTAACAAAACCGGATTCCAATTTTTCTTGGTTCAAAGTGCATTGTGAGCACACAGATGATTGAAGTGAAAGGGTTACTTAGTGCAAATCTTCTAATCATTTTACAATTCCCCACACCAAATCCTTTAAATTCCACTCATCACAATCACCAAGTCTTTACTCATCTATGTTAAATAAACGTTGAAAATACTCCACTCCTACTTATGTTAATCAGTTACTGAATTTCATAAAGCTTGCAAATTTCATTCATAATGTATAAGCTAGTAAACAACTGATCCAGAATTTCTATAAAACTGCAATAGCTTGATAGAAAAACAATACCAACTAATCATATTCAAAAACCCCAAAACAGCATACAGTCCAAACCCCATATTTTAACAAAATCAAATCACCAGTAATCTCACGCATCAGATAAATGCAGGTGAAAGGCACAGCAAAGCATCATAAGGACTAGATCAGTTCAAATATCAATTATCAGAGAAAAAAATGGCAGCGTACCAAAAATCAGATTTCGAGCTTGAGTTGTTCGTTTGGCTCGAAAAAGTAGTTGAGGACGTACGGAGCGACCCGGACGACGGCCACCCAAGCTCCGAACATGGCCGCGTGGCTCTTGAGCTGCTTCAGCGCCTCCGCTTTGTCTGGTTTCCGCATAAACATGCCCGGAAACATTTTCCCGCAAGCTTTTTTTGCNAAATAATTATTATTATTAGTATTTGAAGAATTATAGTGTATTTGTTTGAGATTTTAAATTTTTTGACGAATCACGTATTATTTATTTGTGATTTTTAAAGTCTTAAAAAATCTTGAATTATTCAATAAATTTACTAATTGGATTTGATTGTACTTTCTAATAAGATTTTAAAGACATACGTAAACTAAATCTTCACCTAATCCAACCTCCAGACATTAAATTTTTAAGGATTTCACTTAAACCAAAAAATCTTAAAAAGTCATAAAATCTTGGATTAAAAAAATATACAATTCAAAATCACAGACGGATACACCTTTGTAGTTTGGTGAATTTCACCTTAGTCTTGTAGGCATTGTTTGAAGACGGGTGTATATATGTGAGTGCATGCCTTCTCTCTCTCTCTCCTAAAAAGTTGTCGCTCTCTCCCAAGAAAAAACTAGATCTGAACGCACACCTCCTCTCTTCCAACACAAACCCTTCTTCGCGGGTTTGACCAACGTTAGGATGGAGCCTTTGTTGTAATTGAGGGCATCTCCCCCAGAGTTGTCCGATTTCTAAAATTGTGTCGGGCAATTCCCCTCCAATATGTTGAATTTTGGTTTATTTATTGGTGTCAGGGTTGTATAGGGAAGGTGCCGGTTGCTAGGTCTTGGGGTTGTTATCCAGTGGTGATTCATTTGGAAGGAGGGTCGGTCATTGTTGCTTTAGGTTAGCTATAGGTGGTCCAGTGGTGATTCATTTTTTTTTTTTTTGTTTTTTTGTTTTCGTTCGTTGTCTTTATATGGTAGTCCAACTGCGTTTGGCTTTGGTCCCCGTTAAGGAATTGTTTGCTCCGTTTAGGGTCGTTGTGTCTCTATTTTGGAGTTTTTGTGTTATGTGGGTGATTGTACCCTCTTGGTTGATTTGTGTAATTCCAAAGAGGTGGATACAGCCTTTGTGTAGGTTCTTGCTTTGTCTGTTGACACTTTACGTGTACTCGCTTTGAGTTTTTTAGTTTTTAATGCATTTATCATTTTGAGAAAAAAATATATATGTGAGTGTTATGTGAAATTAGGACTAAACTTTCATAAAGAAACTGCGTATAGGATTAGGATCGAACTTCCCCTCTACAATTAATCTGATTTTGAAGCAATAGTTCATTTTGGTCAGCCACTTACAAGAGGTCGAATAGCTAATAAAATTCAAAAAAACTTACATAACTAAAATAAAACTTTCTACAAGTTGTAAATAAAAATGTGTTCCTTGTTCTTTTTTTATTTATTTTTTATTTTTTTATTATTATTTTTTTTTCCAAGTGTTCCTTGTTCTTTATGATGCAAACTAGTATTCGACCTTGTGCATTTGCACAGATGTAAATAAAATTAAATATTATAAGTTATATTTATGTATATAATATAAAAATTATAAGTTATATAATTGTATTATATTTCAACCATATAGTATTAGAAGTTATATTTATGTATATAATATTAAAATTAAAATTATATAATAGTATTATATTTTAAAATTTGATCATTGGTTAAAATAAATAGTACAAACAATTTGATTGTATACGAATCACTATATTGATTGCATAAAATGCAATAAATATATACTTTTTATAATTTTGAGTGATCATGACCAATTAATTAGCTGAAAAATATTACATTTATTATAACAATTGCTTATGTGATTTTAAGAAATTTTACTATGACATAAAAAAAATTAATTTATTAATAAACAACATCTTCATCATATAAAAAAATATTGATTTTAGTGTAAAATATAATTTTATGTAACTTTCATATATTATTTAGTATAAAATACAATTACTAATTTTAATATTGACTATTATATTATTCAATAAAAAAATATAATTATTAATCAATTAACATAAAATATAATGGTTTTTATCTTAATTAACCCAAAAAATGTAATGAAATATTTTCTTATTAATGAGATTGAGTGTATTAATGGCACATAAATAAAATTTATTAAGTTCTATTTATTAGGTTTTATTAATGATTTGCCACATAGGTAAAATTTATTAGGTTTTATTTATTAGGTAAAATTTATTGCTTAGCTAGCAATTATATATATATAGATTTAGTTACTCCGATCCGTAAGTTTTGTCACCAAAGATCGACATTGTGGAAAATATTTTGATGTGGCTGAATTAAGGGGTCATATTTAACAATTTATCTTAACTTAGTGAGTCATGTTTTTCTTTTAAAATTGGAAAGAAACGTGTTTTAATCAAATTGAACACATAAACATTTAGGGGAAGAAATAGTTGGGGTGAATACGTATATTCTCAACAAAATAGTATCGATAACCCCACCCTAATTTCAAATGAGGCAATCTTAAAACCTACAAAAATCAAAATTGTAAGTGGTATATATATCTGCTGTTAATGGTTCACCTAATTATGATGTCTCACAAATAAATGCATTATATCACTTTTTTGACCTAAATACTTGAAATCAACTACCCATAACTCATTTACTCCACGCAAAAACACGTTTCTATTGTTAATTCTTAATTGAACAGAGATAAAAATAATAATAAAATAAATTTGGCAATTAGATATAAAACTGTTCTATATTTGTTATTGTTTCGTTACTATCTAGGAAAGATTAGAAAAACTAATTTTACTGCGTTAAATGTAGTAAATATTTCTAAAATATTTATAATATTTATCTACAATAAATATTAGAAAAACTATTTTTACTGCTTTCCTTAATAAAATTATGTAAATGCGACTCTAAAGTCGCCGGAAAAGAAATAGAAAAAAAAAGCATAGTCAGCCCCACAATATTTTCTACAATATTTAGCTGAAAAATATTACAGTTCTCTTGAAAATAAAAAATTTCATATTTTCGTATTNAAATAAAAGGAAGATATGATTGGTCACTTGGTTGGTGTGTTTTTATTAGGGAGCACTGAAATATCATATATCGCATAAAAAATCCAACTACCAACATACTGTCATAAATAAATGTCGTTCTTATTAGCTTCTCATCTGTAAAAGCAATGGCATGCATTACATTGCTGCCATTCATAAATGCTGCTATATTAGCTGTATATGTGAGTGTTTGCATATATGCGTGCTGAAATGAAAAATAAGTAATCTAATTATTATCACAATCTCAAACGCACAAATCTAATGAAATGCTAATCTAACTTATATTTCCACCTCTACATTATTGAAACGTTTGAATGTTAGTCGATCTGACGTTCAATTAGCAAATTGAACCTCATTAAGATATTTGACACGTAAAAATTCGCTAATTAGTTGGTTTGATAAAAAAAAACTTATTTAATCAGTTTTTTTAAGACCCAAGCGCTAATTTTAGAAAACCTTAATAAAAAAATCGTTGTAGATTAAGAGGAGTTATAAAATAATACAGCAATACAAGGTTTCCAAAACAATTAACTACACAAAAAAATTACTACATTACTTATCCAATACTTATTATAAATCCTAATATAGCTTGCTAGTTAAATCAGTTATTACAGTCCAGTGATATAATCTGGTATTCCATAATAGCCAAACACAACCAAGAATTAAATTTTCATTTTGGCCATCTCATTCTTTTGTCCTTTTCAAATTTGAGGCTTCACAAATTGAAATTAAAATAATAATAATAATAATAATTGACTTGATAGAACTATGTCTCCCTAGTGTAAAGATTTCCTATAATCATTTAATTGTTACATTTGTTTCGTTTTGTTTTTCCCATTAGTGTTGAGTGAGAACTGAGAAGCACTCATATAGTTGCTCAAACACAAGTACTCAACACCCCTTTCTCTCTCTCCTCTCTCCCCCCCTCACTCTCTCTCCTCTATATCTCTCTCATGGGGGAATATTTAGTAAAGGTTGAAGAAGCACGGCCGGCCAGTGACCGGAATCCGTCAGCCGGGCCGGTGTACCGGTCAATATATGCCAAAAATGGACTTTTGGAGGTCCCTTCTCAAATGGATTCTCCATGGCATTTCTTCATGTAAGCATTATTATATATCATTACTCTAACATTATTACAGCTTCATCTTGATTTCATGTATTAGCTCATGTTCACTAATTTCATTTATTTTTTGGAGAAAAAAAAATGTGGCTGTTTATGTGTGGGCAAATTACTTTTTCACATATTTTTTTTTTCTCAAATTAATATAATCTTGTGTGAATTTCAAGACCATATAATCATTTCATATTATTTCCCGTGTTCTAAACTTTAATAGAGAAGGAACAAAAAAATATAACAAATTCCAATCAAACCGGGAAAAATGCAAACAAATCGAAAAAATGGCCCATACAGGTCTCGAACCTGTGACCTTCGCGTTATTAGCACGACGCTCTAACCAACTGAGCTAATAGGCCATGTTGGTAATAATTTGTTAATTTTTGTATATTTTCAGAGGGAGCGTAAAAAAGAGCCCAAACAACCAAATGTTGGGTCGCCGTCAGGTCAAGGATGGAAAGGTAATTAAGCTAAATTTTACATCAGTATTTTATTTATATATATATATATTTTTTTTTTTTTCNTCTTTTGGAAAACAAATTTGCTTGACTAAAATGAAATTAAAAAAAAAATAAAAATGCAGGCCGGTGCATACAGCTGGCTAACCTATCAGGAGGTCTACGATGCAACGCTCAAAATTGGTTCAGCCATACGACGTCGTGGGGTCAACCCTGTTAGTCCAATATATTTATTCTTCTGACTTTAACCATCTTCATTAATGGAGACAAAGCCTGAGACAAATCATGTTTTTAATTCGTCATAATTCTCCCCCTAAAATACTAATGGCTGACTTAAAAATAAATCATGTTATAGGAATTTTGGCCTGCTTTGCAGAAATATTCATGCCCCTTGAGTATTTTATTCTGTAATTTGAATTTGATGTTCTTTTGTTCACATGTGATTATGAAATTTTGAAATTTCATTTAACTCTGTTCTTAGCATATGCACAGTTCCAATAAAACAAGTGCGTATTGTGCAACATTGATTATAGTCTTTTTCCCATGTTTATATACAGAAGTACTCCCTCCATTTTGAAATATAAGGCGTATAAAGATTTCTCAATTTTTTTAAAATATAAGGCGCGCTCAAAAATCAAGACAAATTTTTATATTTTTTTCTAAATATACCCTCATTGTGTTGAAATTAAAGAAGTGTGGAGTGGTTGTGATTAGAGTAAATAAAGTTAATTTAGTCAATTTATTCATTAATTAATGTCTCCTTAATATTTGTGCAATAACCTTAAATGTCTTATATTTCAAAATGGAGGGAATATTTGATTAACTAGTGATTAACTTTTTGCTTTGTATAGGGTGATAAGTGTGGCATTTATGGAGCCAACTGCCCTGAGTGGATCATGGCCATGGAGGTTGAAATTTGATTATTTATTTTATTTTCTTTTTATTTCTTGTGGGGCAATGTTTCGAAACCCGCCCTTGGTTATCGATTCGGTTTGACTTTTGGGTCACCAGTTCAACTCATCGAGTCAATTATTGAAATGGAAAATTAATTTTAAGAAAACTTAAAATTACATTTATATATTTACCTTAATTATTTCGCTCCTTTTGATTTATTTACAGGCTTGTAATAGTCAAGCTGTAACATACGTGCCACTTTATGATTCACTTGGTATGTTAGTCACATTAGTTTCTCTTTCCTTTTATATTTAATTTTTTGTTTTATCATTATGAATTTGGAAATATTGGGTATATAATTATATGATTAGTTTTTAATGATTGTGAGGAAAAAAAAAATGCAGGTCCAAATGCAGTGGAGTTCATCATCAACCATGCTGAAGTTTCTATAGCTTTTGTACAAGAAATCAAGCTACAACATGTGTGTATTTTCCTTAATGTTCTTGTTTCATATTTAGTTTTCTTGTTTTTTGTCTAATGGATATAAATTTCTCTATGTAGGTAATAACATGTCTTGCCAAATGTACCTCAAATTTAAAGAGTAAGTGAAATTCGACGTTATTCGGTTAACTGTTCTTCGACTTTTAATCGCACGTTAATTCGACAAAAAGTTTTGTTCTCTCTTAAGCTATTGTGAGCTTCGGAAAATTTCCCGATAAACAAAAGGATACGGTTGAGTCACTAGGCGTTTCTTGCTTCTCATGGGAAGAATTCGCTCTTTCGGTTAGTAGTTCACCTTGCAAAGTTTTTCTTTTTACCGTTTTCTTTTTTACCATTTACGTGAGAGGATTTGTTCCGGAACTTTCCATGCAGGGGATTTCGAATGAAGAAGATTTGCCTCCCAAAAAGAAAACAGACATATGCACGATAATGTACACGAGTGGGACAACAGGCGACCCAAAGGGAGTAATTCTAAGTAACCGAGCTTTCATGGCAGAAGTCTTGTCTGTGGATCAGCTTCTTCGAGAGACAGATAAAGCTGTAAGGAGAAAAAAAAAAAAAACCGAACTCCTTTTCGAACACGTTAAATGCTTTTATCTCGATTTATTCATATTTTTGTTTGTTATAATAATATGCAGGGTACAGAAGAGGATGTGTACTTTTCATTCCTACCGTTGGCTCACATATTCGATCAAATTATCGAGACTTACTGCATTTATCGTGGTTCCTCGATTGGGTTTTGGCAAGGGGTATAATGCTAATGCATTTTGGTGCATTTTCATTTTTTTTGTTTGTGCATTTTGCATTACAAACTTTGTTGAACGAAGAATTTTTTTTTTTTTTTCGAGCTTGCAGGACATTAGGTATTTGATCGAGGATCTTGTCGTGTTGAAACCGACTATATTCTGTGGAGTTCCTAGAGTTTATGATAGAATATACACAGGTTATGATTTATGAAGCCCTTTTTCTTTCTTTCATTTTATCGGCAAATGAGTTTCAGTTTTGGTTGCGATTTCAGGTATAATGGATAAAATATCGACAGGCGGTACATTGAAGAAGTCGATTTTCCATATTGCTTACAACTAGTTAAGTTCTTTTTGATGCAATTTTAGAATCTTATGTCGACTTTTTCTCATTCATTTGTTTTGTTTATTGACAATCGATACATTTTCAAACAGCAAATTAAGGAATCTCGAGAAAGGGCTCAAGCAAGAGGAAGCATCGCCGCTTATGGACAAGTTGGTTTTCGATAAGGTTAAGTTAATTGGCGACCCTTCTTTCGAAATCGTCCTAATGAGTTCGACTAAATTTGCCTTAGCCTAAATCTTGCTCGTTTTATAGATTAAACAAGCATTTGGTGGACGAGTTCGACTGATGTTATCCGGGGCCGCACCTTTACCTAACCACATTGAGGAGTTCTTAAGAGTGACTTGCTGCTGTGTTTTATCACAAGGCTATGGTAATAATAAATATGTGATTCAAAACTCCAACATTTTTGAATCTGTAATGTAGGCTATGTTTGGTAACTAAATAGTTTATAACTTATTTGATTAGCTTATAAGTTTATTGTATTCATATAAACTTCGTTTAGTAGGATTAAAAAGTTCGAGTTTATCTCATAAACTTCTTTGAGTAGTTTTTCAAATAAGTTTGTTGAAATTTTTATTTCAACTAATTTATCAACTAATTTTACCAAACACTTATATCATATAAGCTAGCTTTTCAGCTATAAGTTATAAACTAAAAGCTCAAAAATCACTTATAAACTATCAGCTATATATCTTTCAGCTAGTTTTACTAAACATAACCGTAATATTTTTGTGTTATCTTATGATATGTAACTACATTTTTCAGGCCTTACGGAAAGTTGTGGCGGTTGTTTCACGTCAATAGCGAATGTGTTCCCTATGACTGGGTCGGTTGGCGTGCCCATGACGACAATTGAGGCTCGACTCGAGTCCGTACCCGAAATGGGTTACGACGCACTTTCTTCTATCCCGAGAGGCGAAATTTGTCTTAGGGGAAACACATTGTTCTCCGGCTACCACAAACGCCCGGATCTTACCGAAGATGTAATAATTGATGGATGGTTCCATACAGGTTATTTTTATTTTTTCGAATTTGAAAATTGAAGGGGTTTATTCATTTGGGATTTCTATAGACTTTTTAAGACTTTTAAAAATCTTGATGTATTATTTATGATTTTAAAAAAGTCTCACAAAATCCGGAGGTATTTAATTTATTTTTAACTAAGATTTGCTTGTATTTCTAAGGAATAAAAAAACAATATACGAAATTCCACCCCAGACTTATGGGTGTATTTGTTTAGGATTTTTAAAGACTTGTTAAGACTTCAGAAATTTTGAAATATCTAATTTAGACTTTTAAAAATTTTGAGGTATTCATTTGAGATTTTATAAAAAGTCTTACAAAATTTTGAGGTATTTAACTTATTTGAAACTAGAAATTGTTAAAACTTTGTAAGATTTTTGAGACTATTATTTATTAAAACTTTTTAAGATTTAGTGAGATTTAAAATAAAAGACCATATATGTCACTCCAAATCTCTATCTCCAAAATTTTTTAAGGTTCCACATGATTCCTCCTGAATCTAAAACTCTTAAAAAGTCTCACTTCTCAATATGTCACTCAAAATCCAAATGAATACACCTTCTTTAAGATTTCACAGGATTCCTCCCTAAATCTGAAAATCTTAAAAAACTCAAATATCAAAAAGTTTCAAAATGTCAAATCACAAAAGAATACGCCCCCTAAGTTCTTTATGCAACTTTCGTAAAAATGGGGTTGGAATAATGTTGTAGGCGATGTCGGGGAGTGGCAGCCGAGTGGGGCAATGAAGATTATCGACAGGAAAAAGAATATATTCAAGCTGTCGCAAGGAGAGTATGTCGTGGTCGAGAGTATAGAGAGCATTTATTCGCGATGCCCTCTTATTACGTCGGTAAAGAAATCGACACTTGACTATTCTAGAAACAC